TCAGAAAACAACACAAGGATGGACAAGTGGAAATAAGGATATCGATGATTGCATTAAGGAATTTCAACTTAAAGCTACATTTTATGAAGATGTAACCGAATGGATTCCTTTTAATAAATTAAAGAATATTCAAAATATTGGTGATAAAGTTTTAGCAACCTGGTTAGATGGATTACGGTATATAAAATTTGAATGTGTAGATAATGAATATAAACATATACAGTCACGTATACCAACATATAAAGTGGAACTTAAAGTATTTCGCAGAACACAAAATACACAAAATATTTTAAAAGAAGTGAGTTCTTATTATTTTATTATCCGACATTTCATACATTTCATATGATCATGTGAATTTTTTTGCCATGATATTTTTGCATGAATTACGTAATCAGTTTTGCAAAATATCAAAAATATCACACGGTTATATTGATGAACCTAGTATCCCCCTAAAAAAAAGTTACGTAACTGAGCTTTAATTTAAAATACTGTTATAGTGATGACGATATTTCTTATTAATAATCAAATTTAATAAAATGAATTTTTTCGTTTTAACACTATTTGGTTTTTACACAATGTCAAGCGAAAATTTGAAATATTGCAAAGGTTGCCGATCAGATAAAAAAACTTGAAGATTTTTGTGAAGGAAAAGTTAGCTGTAATAAGTGTTTGGAACGAGCAAGAACAAATTCAAAACAGCGATATGAGGAAGAAAATGAAAAAAAACTTTTTGACACAACACAAAATTCTATACTTTCAAGTGATTTAACGCAGGCTGTTTATGATTCTTTAATTTCAATACCGGAAATTGATGAAAATTTAGAGGGTGATATTGGATTTTTTTTGAGCTTTATGTTGATTTTACAGAGCTTTTAGATTTTTAAGAAGGCGATTTATCTGAATCTTCAATTGCAAATAAGCTTATTGAAAATATTCAAGCTGGTGATGGATATTGTTATATCTACCATACTAAAACTATACACAAAAAAATAAAATCTGTTACAGTTATTTATAGATGTAACTGTCATGCAGATTGTATTAAAAAGCCACAAAAACATTTAGATAAAGAAAAACAGCGTGATACTACTTCAAGACTTAATCGATATGAATGTGATGGTTATATTTCAATTAAAGTTAATATTGAAAATAAACTTGCAATTATTAAAATAAGTCATCGAATTTTGCATCCAAGGCCAGAAAATATTAATGTTATGAATGATATAAAAGAATTTATTACAAATAATTCAAGTTATATAGCGGCTGAATTATATAAAAAAATTGTTTCAAATCGAATAACTGGTTTTGAAACATTAACTCAAGATCAAGTTTATTATTGGTGGTCAAAAGCTAATATAGTTCAATACAAATGAGCTGATAATGAATCTTTGTCTGCGCAAGTTTTATTACAAGAAAAAAATTATACTATTCTTTTTTACTGTATGTATCCAAACCTGTTGATTATTTTGCATTTTTAACGCCATTTTTTTCTTTTTTACCAAAAATAGCATATGAATGTCTTTTAATCGATGCAACCTATAATACCAATAGGTTAAGATACGAACTATATATTATAATGGCTACTATTAATTATACTGGATTTTCAGTTTCTTATTTATATGTTGCTACAGGCAAAAATCGAGATATAAGATCTATTTTAACAAAATGGTTTTTATATTTGCGAAACAATGGAATAGATAATGTTAAAACATTTTTATCAAATAAAGATTTTGTTCAAATTTCAAGCGTCCAGGCTATATGAAGAAATACAAATATACAACTTTGCAAATGGCATGTTAATCGTGCTATAAAACAAAAACTTTCATCATCAAAACAAAGTAAAATTTCTTATAATCTAATTGAAGCAAACCGTTAATGTTCTTTTATTAATCCATCATGGACAAGTACAAGATTATCACAACAAATACGGTCTAAAGTTTTTTGTTTGCATTCTTATCGAGATATAATTCTTGAACTTGTTGAAAAACATTTACACCAACATATGCTAATACCAACAATTAATTAAGAATTTATTCAAGATTTACAACAAATTTGGATATATGCAGTTAAAGAAATATTTGAGTTTTGTTATACAAACGATCTATTTGAGATATAGTGTTATATGTGGAATGAGTGGTACCATTAT